TGGAGGTATTGTACGCGAACATGAACTCGGGTAATAGTATGTCCCATTTCTTTTGGGTCCCCTCTTAATATTGTGCTACCATAGTTTCTATTACTTAATTTGTTCTCTCCACTGGATTTGCTTGGGGAGTATACGGAGTGATAAAATTATGTCTAATACCATATTCTGTACATACTTGTTCCAAGAGCTTACTGGTGTACTGAGAGCCATTGTCAGACAAAAGAATTTGAGTAGTACCAAACCTTAATATTACCCTTTCTTTTAATACCTGCACTATGGATTTTGCGGTTGCTGCCCTGATGTCCGCGCACTCCACCCACTTAGTGAACGTATCTTGAAACATGAGGAGATACTTATTAAGTACCTTTTGTTGATCTAGGAAAGGGACCCACTAAATCTGTACTCACATGCAAAGTACCAGGGATTTTGTGAATTTCTAAATTACATTACCCCTAAAATTTTTTTGTTAGGGTATACATTTTATGGTATAAAATTAAACTGAAATCTTTGCAAAATTGTACAAAAAGTGGACCACGATACTCATGATAAACGCCTAACTCTCATAGTCATTCAAACTTGGACTTGGACCCAGAGTACGCAGACAGATCTACGAACATGCAGAGCATCAAACCTATTGAGCAGCTTAGAAGAAGAGAAGTACACAAGTATTGGATCCACCCATTAAACCAATGGCTCTCCGTTGTATATATGCAGTGAACAGTAACACTTTTTCCTGCGAGAACCAACACTTTGATCATCGTTTTTCTCGTCAACCACCTAAAGAAGACCATTCAAAGTATGATTCCCTTGACTTTTACACTTTTCTACACGACTTGGTGATATTATTTTTCTTTAATATGCCCAAATAATCTGGGTTTATTCTATATAATCTGCATTACTGACACAATCTTAGTTGCCTTATTCGACCGATAGAGTTCGGGGCCTGCACTTCGACAACATAGAGCACATTGTATCACAACAGCCACTACGCTGAGGACCGAGCTCACCATTGTCGACTACCAACACAATAAACAAAGATTCTAATTTTCTGCGCGCAACCACTGATCTACCAAATATTAGCAAGGTTAAGTTGCTCTCCATGTCTAACTTATTTCGTCTCTTGACAATTTGGTTGAGCCAATAATAGATTTTACATCCTCCATCAAATTGTAGCCTATCAACTATAACTAGATAGGATTGTACGTTATGTAGTTTAAACGTTACGTTGCGAAGACATAACATTTGTCATAGCTTTAACTTGTCAAAAACACAATTTAAATTGCAAACTATTTTGTTTTGAGGGTCAAAAATATTTTGGAAATCAAATCACCTGTCAGAAGTACTGTTCAAAAATATTTATTTAATACGGAAACATTATTTACATAATTGTAAAACTGTTGAATACATGTTATTGGAACTTTCTTTAAACGCTTTAAACAACTTAACAATTACTTAACTTAACTTAACGCTTTTTTGTTAATATTTTGTTGTTATCATTAGTTTTTTTAGAGGTTAACTGTAAGAAAGGACCATGAGGTCCTAAGTTCACCTCAAAGAAAGATTTTCATTTCATTTTATTTCATTTTTAACAACCAAATTAAGGCTCAATGATGAAATCATTGGGGTTATTTAAGGTCCTTTATGTGCTGCACTTTCTACACCACTGACTCGTCTTTGGCACTTAAACTTTGCGTTGTATTGTATTTGTATTTTAGAATAAGCTCCAAAAGGGTCTCATGGCATGTTTAACTATTGCTATTATTGTGCCAAACATTTTTTATCATTTACCTACTATTTTTATAAATGGATTAAACAAAATGTATAACGTACACAAAATCGTAACTGCTGCTTACATAAAGTCAATTACAATTGCAAGACTAGCTGCTCTCAGAGTATAAATTATACTAATAAATTATATTCCCCGAGCAAAGCTTATTTAAGAATATGGTTTAATAACATTGTACAAAATAATAGTTCCAGAGCATACACATTTTTTTATTCTTCCAAACGGTACATGCCAGTTGACAAAAAATATTTCAGAAAAAAATACAACAATTAACAGTTGAAGTTTAACAAAACATTAATAACATATTAATTAAGCTGAAACAACAAATCAGACTCTATGATGATATAGAAATCAATGACAAAAAATACAAAAAGCAAAACATCTCATAACAATATAAAATCTGAATCAGCAATTATTATACAAAAAATCAAGAGGAAAGAGTGAATGTTTTATTAACTACTACTACTACTGATATAGCTGGTTGAAGGAGCTAAACTGTCGTCAGAGAGCCAGAGAAGTCGACAGACGCTGCAGTCTCTCCACCCGCTTCTGGCTCCGTGTTTAGCCCTTGAATTTCTAAATTGCATTTCCCCTAAAATCTTTTTGTTAGGGTACTTAAAATCTTGACACGAGGAACAATTCCTAACGTACAATGCAATTTCTCTGAACATACCTGGCCAATAATAATTGCGGCCGATTCTGATTCTATCAAATGTTTTTGCTATGCCTAAATGTCCGGCTGTAGGATCATCATGGTTTTGCTTTAATATACGTCTGCTCTGTTTTCTTTCGTGACACACAGTTTCCAAGGAGTAGTAGTGGGGGTTTCTCCTCATTTTACATTATTCCAAATAAGTTTAAACAGTCTACCATCTATAATTTTAAAGCGAGAATATTTGTTCACGGCCGCGATGGATGATCAGAATTATACCGTGATTGCGCAAGACGATGATAATGTCCACACGACACCCAAGTAGCACACATCGTTGGCCCAACGTTGGGAAATCGTCGGCACGGTTGGGAAATGGTTGGCAGAAATTTTAACGATTTGCCAACGTTGGCCCAACGGAAACTGGTATTCGTTGGCCCTACAAAGGAAAGAATCGTTGGGCCTTCGTTGGGTTTAAGTATAAAACATTCTAAAACAAATTTTAACGAATTGATTTATTTAAAAGTACATACATGTTATGGCATCAGAATATAAGATAAATATTGTAAAAATTTGGATCTATAATAAATGTAGTCAGATGATGTTATGGTACTAGATACAGTGGGGAACACCTGCTTAACATATAATAATTATTATAATTCATTTTTTTAAAACAATATTCTTTAACTTATTTAAGAAAATTGTTAATAGTTATAGGGGAAAGATTAATTAATTATATATAACAATCAATTATAACAGTACCTAGCCTACTAATCTAATGGTAATTAAATAATCTATATTCAAATACTAGTGTCCTCTCCAAATACCAGAAAAACAATTCAACTACTCGAGGCCTAAACAGATTAACAGAATCATATACTGTAGCATCCAAAATATTTTAAGTATTGTGACCATTGCACTGTCGGCTACTCTTTCACCACTTGAAAACACTCATAATCAACAAGCACAGTTAGCTCAGAGGTAAGGCGTGAGGCTCACAAGGCGAAGGTACAGGGTTCGAGACCCGTTCCGGCCAAATAATTTTATCTCGTTTTTTTTCCAAAATAAGTTTTTATGAACTATTTAATCAATTTACTCAACTCATATGCTTTTCATACAAAATCTTTATTATTTTGTGTTTTTTTATGTTTAGGCCCAATGGGATGGTTGGCCCTTCCTCAAAAATTGGTTGGTTGGCCAACCGTAAGACTGAGTGCCAAAACATACCGTTGGCCAACGATTGACAAAAACGTTGGGCCAACGATTAATTTTGCTAACGATTTTTGCTTCTTGGGCAGCTGGAAAATATATAGATATAAATGATGTCAGAATATCGACTCAGTCACGGAAGACGATGATGATGAAAGTTACCGTCATTACTGCTTGTTACTTGTTACCATTATTACTAGGCATAGTCTTCTTGTTGTTATTTATTGTAGTTTTTAGGTCTCACTCATGTATTTATTGCCAGCTTCCTTATTTATTATTATTGCACGATTTTTGTAACCACTGTTATTAACTTATTATTTGCTACTTATGTATAGTTCATAGTTTGACAAAATTGTATTAATGGAGAAACCGTTGGAATAAATAAATAAATAAATAAATAAATGATCTCCACACGAGCACGGGAGATGATTACCATTTTGACGTAATCGCGGGAGACGATTATTATGTCTACTACATGACCACGGGAGACGTTGTAATAATGTCTTCACAGCCCCGAGGGATGATCAGAATTTTGCCCCGATCGCAGAAGACGATCATAATGTCTACACGACCGCGGGAAACAGTCAGAATTTTGCCGCAATTGACGTTGACGATGATGATTTCCACACGACCACGGCAGATGATTACCAATTTGAGACAATCACGGGAGACGATTATTATGTCCATAATACCACCAGAGACGTTGTAATAATGTCTTCACAGCCTCAAGGGATGATCATAGAATTTGGCTCTGATCGCAGAAGACGATTATAATGTCTTCACGACCACAGGAAACAGTCATAATTTGGCCCCGACCGCAGAAGACGATGATAATGTCTACACGACCGCGAGAAAACATTCAGAATTTTGCCGCCATCTCGGAAGACTATGATAATCTTCATACTGAAGGATATCATTTAACTTTTTCCGCAATTGTGGGAGACGATTACAATGTCCACACGGCAGCGAAGGATTACCAAAAGTTTACCGCGATTGCACGCAAATACAACCACCATTTTATTTATTTCCTAATTTCTTGGCGCACCCCATAAACCAATTGCCTCGCGCCCCAGGCACTTGCCTACCCACCCTGCCTATTCGGTAAATCGGCCGCAAATAGTTGATTAAAGACGTTACTAATTCATTTTACTACATTTTAATGTGCATAATAGATACTTTTATTAATCCATTTATTTATGTATATACTGTGGGATGTCAATTTAAAACTTTCATATATCAAACTCTTTTATATGTATACAACAACTTTTTTATATAATAGTGTTCATACTCTATGCTACTAGCTTCTTAGTCATATTCGTCACAGTTGGTTGCAATGCAATTGCAGAAAATTGCAATTATTTTGTTGAACTGTTAAAGTTGAAAGGGGTGATTATAGTATATTGTTTTCAATTACATAAAATTGTGGACTATCTGAATATTTAATATAAAACGTATAAGGTTCATAATTAATGTAAATTTGTAATAACTTATAGTGAACAGGAAATATTTAATAATGAGGGGAAGACTGATTTTATGATAATTAAAATTATACTTCACTCATCATGCATTTTGTGGAATAATGTCCGATATCTTGGTGAATCATAACATAACAGAATTTCATAAAAATTGAATAGTTTAAATAATGTGTTCTTAAATTTGGCCCGCTTAGAGATAAATCTGTGTATTAATTGTTAGTCATGGCAAGAGAATACGACCATCTGTTCAAACTGTTAATAATAGGAGACAGTGGTAAGTTGTAGCCTAATAGTTGGTAATAAGTTTTACTTTATACACTTCTCACTTATTCGTTCGTTTATCAAAAGATTCTGATACAGCAAACCATAACAACATGGGTCTTAAAACTATTTTGTAGTTTTTAAAATAGGCTTAACGTACATTCAACTGTCATTATGGCTTATGCTCCACCTTATTTTTAGGTTAAATATAATTGTACTGCTAGTGAAAATAATTTGCTGGTTAGACTTAAATGCCTCTACGTTGATGCTTTTTATCTTTATTCCATTTGTTTAAATGGTTCATTATCAAAAAATGAAGATACCCTGAATCAAGATTCTAACCTCTAAATGTAGGCTACAATTAAATCAACATAAAATAAAACCTAGTATAGGCGAAGTTTAATAGTTGAATGATAGGCCTACATGCCATATTTGTTTTTCATTTCAATCTTTGTTAGCAAACCTGCAATTTTGAAGTTATTTTTCATATAGGTCTAGGCTAATAACTTTTAACTTAGGGCCCTAAGTTATGCCTAATATTTCTTTAAGGTCAGGGCGGATTGCTAACTTACATTAGCCTACATCTTGAGTGATAGATCCTTGGTTTAGTTGATGTATGATACTGATGTGTACGATCCCCTAGGAACAAATCGAAACTAGGCTAATAAGTTAGCCTAAATAGGCCTAGGCTACCCTCTAATTTAGGCTTTATCAAGAATGGAATTATGGGTAAATATAGGGTTAGCCTTTGTTTTGTCTAATGCAGAGTATCAACTCAAATGGTAAGCCTATCCTAGAGCGGTGAAATTGAATATTAAAGGTTTTTTGGGTTTGTTACCGGAAATTTAAATTTTTGAAAGTTTTTTAGTACGGGTAAGTTAGGGCCTAGACTTGCTGTCACCAGTAGGCCTAAATAATTAGTCTGAAAATCCTCAGTAAAGCCTCCATCATGTCTGGGGTGACATAATGATTAGACTATGTATACAATTTTGGTTTGTCCCATGTAGGCTACCGTCAAGCGGGGTAATTCTGACCCCCCAGGGGTAACATTGCCCCCGGGGTCAATTATTTGTATTATATGCTTTTTTAAATAGTAGGTTATAAATAAATTGAAAATAAAAAATATGATAAATTACAGTAGTTTGGCAGCAATTTGAAAACAATTAATATTTAGCAGAAATTAGTTTTATAACAATAAAAAAATATTATAATACAATCATCTACAAAACAGCTGTATAATTTCATAACAAAAAACTTTTTCAGCCCAGCAAAAACTGTTGGTTCTGGCACTGTCAGGATTTTATATGGTAAAATATATATGTTTTTAGGAATATCTGAGCACTTTATTACAAGTAAATAAAGAAAATTTAATAAATTTATTATTATTTTTTAAGGCCTTGTAACATTGACCCCTGAATTTTTTTGCCTTCGGATAACTTTGACCCCTCGTTATAATTCCAAGTTACTAATTACACATAATTTTAATTGATTCTGGTATATTTAATTTAACTGATATATGTATATAATGTGATAGGCCTACTAAAAATATTGATTTATAATTGTTTTATTTTTATCTATGAAGTTGAGGTAAAAGCAATCTATGGAAAGCGAGGAAAACAACACTTTAACCAGGTCTTTGCCTGTTAAGTTAAAAAAATTAACAGTTTGTTGAAGTAATGTGACTTAATTCTGTTGACACTAACTATGGGGAAAAATTTACATCTAAAAGAAAATTATGTGTTTTCTATTCTGCCCCATCTGTAGATCTGATTAGTTGCCGGGAACTCTGGAATCTGATGGGCGCAAAATTTTCTATAACTTTTTGGAAGGGTTTGAGTAAAGGAAATTTAATGATTTTAGTCTTTAATAACTTGTAGTTTTGATGTTTTTCCTTGGTGTTACATCCTAATAATGTGATTTTGAGAAAAAAAAATGCTAACTGGAACTAGGCCTATTCCGTCATTATAGCCTGGGTGTGTTTATAAAAAAAATTGTTATGTTCACTCCTTGATGTTGTTACCACTCTATTGTTCTTAAGTAACATTGACCCCTTTTACAGGGGTCAAAGTTTCATTGTACACTAGTAACATTGACCCCAGTGCTTTATTATGTATAATTTTTATATAATAAATGTAGGGGGTCAATGTCACCCCAAGACACGGGGTAACATTGACCCCTTTTATTATTTTTTTTATGACTAACATATGACCATAAAAAACAAAATAATTACTGGAAGGTAATCACACAGTACCTGTATATCATTTAAAAAATATATTGTGAATATTAATCAATATAAACAAAAATTAATCAACAAAAACATCAAAAAAGGGGTCAATCTAACCCCGGTTGACGGTACCTACATTAACTTGTACGTCACCTCAAACCCAACCAATGTTAACCTTTTAAACATAAGGGAAACCAAATCCACTCAATTTCAGTAACTAACATTGTTACAATCAGTTGTAAAATCATGCCATTCATACAAGTGCTCTAAAGAGCTGTAGGCCAACCACAGTATTGTTGATTTTAAGGCCTTGATACTTTATTGGACAAATCTGAAGTCATCCAATGCAAAGAACAGCTGAACGACTAAAACCAATGTTTGCATTACCGGTACGGTACCGGTAGTCATAAACGGGTAGGTTTTATTAATTTGTCTTGGTACCGGTACCGCTGCCCTTCGCCTGTTATTTGCCACTCAGACGTAGCCTACTGTAGCCACCAATTCAATTTCAAGTAGGCCTAGGCCTAGATTAAGGTTGGACCGATGTCAAAGCTGTGCCGTCCCTGTCACTCACTACTCGTATCGTAACCAAGTCCTAATAGTCCTTGACTAAGCTATTTCTATAAAGGTAAATTTAACTTTAAATTGGTAGGCCTACCTAGGCTATTCATTTGCCAATTAACTTAAGTTCTGAAATTGTAACTGTTGGCTATATTAGCTATATTGTTAACTTAGTTCTATATTTATATTTCCTCAACATAGGCTAATAGTTGATGAATGTTCTGAATTGTTGCCTAACATTATATTTACTTAGTAGCTTGTATAAGTTATCATGTCGTCAGTAGCCTAACTTAAGTAAGTGTGTCATGTATCAACAATTCATATTCATTAGGCTAGTCTACTTTTGTCTATGTTTAATCTGTAACTTTCAAATTTTATAGAAACAGACAATGATAATAAATTAAATAGAACAAAATTGGTACCTACCTATGAGATATTAACATAGAACAGAGATCTTAATCAAACTTATGGATGTTTGCAATGAATTTTTTAGAATATGAAGGGAGAAAGAGGTTTGATTTTTGAGAACAGTCAATGTGCACGTTGTGAATAGTCTACTTTTTTCTCAAATAATTTGATTTTAAAATTTGTAATTGGAATGTAAGAATGGTTTTTTAAAACCCTTTTTTGATGAATATTGAATACTATGGCTAAGAAAACAAGTTTATTTGGGTCTTAGTCATAATTGTTATGCTATCAAAACTTTAATTCAGTGTTGTACATGGAAGCATTAAACCAATTGCATGAGTACCTAGTAGAAAATTCCAACCTTTTCTATAGGTACAATTTTCTTTTAAGAAAACGTGCAAAAAATACCATTTGCTTGATAAATTCATATAAAACACCTTTATAACTGGTGGAGATTTGCTAGGCCCTTTATGATTCAAAATTTAAAATAAATTTAAATTAAAACTTATGACTCATTGTTATAATTTAACAAAGAATCAAGGGTCAGAGATTATGATTTTTGATACGATGAAAAAGGCATTAAAAGGACCACAGAATTGTAAAACTGTTAACATGTTAAAAATCAAAGTTTAAGGGTGTTAAAGGGTCAGCTGCTGTTTCTCTGTCAACTTGGAAGAGAATAGCTGATTCCTATCTAGTTGTTAGTCTACAGGACTATGTATTGTTATAAATTGTTAGCCCAAGATTCACCTAGTTTATAAAAATTATTAGACCAGGCTATGTGTGAAAGTAACTGTTAAAAATCAAATCCTTGAAAAATAAAATATGTTTGATGCACAGCTTGTTAAAGTTTATAATTCATTATAAAGCTCAGATTTTAAAATGTAGCTAAAATATAGAGGTGTCTTTATAGGCCTATATGATTCGTTAGGCCTACTATGTCTTTTTAATTCATTGCACCTAAAAATAGTTAAGAACTAAAACCCTTTACTTCATGGTTTAGCTAAGCATCGATTGTTTATTGTAATAATTGGCTAAGGCCAATTTTGGTCTACAATACTTTGGCCATACTTTTTATTGTAGCCATCTTGTGGGGGATTTAGCAATATTTATAATTCATTAACAGCGTGGGAATTTTGACAATAATATTTAATAAAACAAGGAGACATTGAACATTACTTAACCCTCCAAGTGTTATTTGTCGCTGCAGCGACACATAACACACTTTGTGTAGTGTTTTGTGTCGCTGCAGCGACTCACAAACACTGTTTACGGCGAAGGCTCTATGACTGACAAAATCGGATTGAACTGGATCGAGTTAGGTATCGTTTTATTTGACAGATTCAGAGCTTTCTCCGGAGGTCTGTCTCTAAGCGCTATTCATTTTAGTTCCGAAAATATTGTAGCAGACAGCTGACGTGCGTATTTGTAAACAGCTCGGTTAACCTCGGACCGATGACTGATGTGTTTTATTACGTTTATCGTTGTTTTAGTGTTAAAAATCAAAAGTAGTGATATACGTGGTGCATTATAAGAAGATTTAAGTGATTTTGAAGGGCTGGTTGATGATCCTGAAGAAGTAGGTAGTGATATTGATGTAAATTATCAGCCAGATTCCTAGCTATGGTTAGGCTATGCATTCTTAGCTAAACGCTATGTACTGAAATCTGTTTTTTGCCCATAACTTATTTATTTGCAAATCTACTTCCTTATATTATTATATATTTGTAATCCTCATAAAATTTAGAACAAATATTTATAGGCCTATAATTTATACAATTTCATTGAGCGCAAACTTATTTTTTTTTTTTAATTTTCCAAAATATTTTTTTTTACCTAAAAATTTTTTTTGAAACAAATGTTTCTTATGTTCTATGTAGGTATAATATTGAAGCCCATGATTTTCCAAACAAAATGTTATATAGAACAGTAAAATTAACATTGTTTTCAAGCTTCTCAGATCCGTTTTAATAAAACCTTGCAAATGAGCAAAAAATAGGCAGACATTAAGGCCAAAACAAGGGACACTCGGAGGGTTAAACTAAAATTAAACTACAATGTTGTAAATTTGGCTTTGTCACATCAACCATCAATATGATAGGGACGGTAGAGTGAGGAAGAGAGACAACCGTTTAACCAATTAGTAGGCATAGTTTAGTTAGACCCCTCCTGAATCATCTATCATCATGTTGACCTTCCAACCAGAGAATTGTAACTTGCTTTGCACATAACATCAGCTGTATTGGATAGTGTGTCATTGTTTACTTTAAGGTCATTTTGTTGTTTTACTCACAAAATGCACACATAGAGATGATTTAATGATGATTTTAATGTTTTTTTTACTGGTTGTAAATATTACAATTACAATAAAAATTCCCCACTAGAAAATATATTTTTCAGTATGCATTGTTCGGTGTTCCAGAAAATCTGTACATGGTTAGTTTGATATCCCAATGATTTCCATAAAAAGCAGAACTAATGAAAAACTATAAATTTGAAAAACATGATATAGAAAAAGTTTTTTTGAGAATATTTTAAGCCTACTTAAACTTATAAATTGTAACATTTGCTATAAACTCATTACCAGGAATGAACAGTTCAATTCTTTAGTTTTGATGATTTACTTTTTAGGTAGGCCTACTGGTACGGTATCATGAGTAATGTATTTTTTCGCCACACTATACTGTTTATAGACTTTCCACGCATGAAATTAGTCCATAAAACAGCTGTTTGCTGCCTCCTTAATAAAATGGGGTTTTATTACTTTCTACTGTTCTGTAATGAGCTTTTACCGGACACCAGCTGATTATAATTGGCAATAAGTCAACGAATCAATAAACGAAAACAACCTCTCTTAGAAGTTGAGTAACGATTGTTGAGTCCTTTAGTCGGTGGGAATATATAACAAATGTGTGCAGTTTGGAAATTTTTTTTTTTGAGTTTAGAGTAGTATGGCAAAAAATATTGTACCCTACGTCACTCGTTGAAAATGTGTTTACTGTAGGCCTACTCGTATGGTAAGCACCTATTTTCCGGACTAATAACGTTATAATATCCTAACTACTATTAAATACGTAGGTACGTTGTAATGTAAAGCCGTGTTTACACTGTATTTATCAACAAATGTTATCAACTACCGTATTTTATTAACAAAAGTTTCTAACAAATGCTATTTACATTTTTTTTTTACTTGTAACTTTTGTTTTTAACATGTTGCCACCTAAGCCATGTTAACTACGGAGTTAATAACATTTTGTTGATAACTTTTAGAAAATGTGTGTAATTAGTCAGCAACATATCGTGTTATTAACACAAATCCGGTGTTTCTAACAAAAATGTTGTTACCCACCAAGAGTCGGTAACATTCTTTTATCTTCCCAGAATGTTAATAACAATTGTTATCAACAAATGTGTCTGCTAACATTTCCTTAAGAGTCTTCTTCACCCCTGCGAAAACATAAAAACATGCCCTTGCTCCGGGTTGAATGTGAGAAAATATAATGTTAAAACTTTTTTCCCTTACAGATTAATGTTGGTTCTAGGGCCCTCATACATGATATATATCCAAGAAAATCACTAATATAAGTACAAAAAAATCTTAAAGTAATGTAAATTGAGTCACTTTTAAACACTGATAAAACTAATTATTTTTTTAATTTTCAACCTTTTGAGGTAAAAGAGCTCTAATACAACTATTCAACTACATTGAAACCAAATTTAAAGAAAATCTGTTGAAAAACAGCCTCCGAAACGGGGGACGAAATTTACATGTTTTGTCGGAGGCTACTTCGCTACTAGCCTTTTTCAAAACTTGGTTCAGGCGGCAGATGAATCAATGACGTGTCGATTTAGTTGTCATGTGCTTTCGATGTTTTCAGAATGGCGCGCATAATGACCCTGCGCTACCCGCCCGTCCTCAACACATTCCCCCCAAGGTCATATCCCCAAAACGCAGGGTGATGAAGACTCTTAACTGGTATTGCTTTCCGATAGCTGGTGTCCTTTTTAAAAATTTGGTGACTTATCATTTGAATAAAATATTTAGTCAAAACTAGCCATTCTTAGGAAATTCTTGAAGCTCCTGTCACTCCTTAACTCACTCGACAAAGGATCCATGTCATCATCTTTTAAATCTAGCAACATGTCACTTCCACTATATCTCGTTCTCGCCTTAAGAGAAGGTTAACCCAACATTTCTTGGTTTCCTGTGTGTGCGTCACCAAATCAAACAGGCAGCAGTATCAAGAAACACATCCTGCTTTTTGGCCTCTGCTGAATTAATAGAACAAAATTAATCTTTCAAAACTGGATTTCTCTAGGACCTAATCAAGTAAGTTTTTGATGACGTAGATTTTTATGACGACATTTTAGTAAATCTTGTTAAAAATTAATACTAAGTCAAGGGTGCTTTTAGTTGTTGAAAAAGGGCCCTTCCTTGGTGATTAGTAGCCTACATATAGTTGAATTAATTTTAAATCAAGATCTGCTTGCAGATGTCGGGAAGAGTTCCCTGCTAGTGAGGTTTGCAGATAACACATTCTCCGGCAACTACATAACTACCATTGGTGTAGACTTCAAGATCCGAACTGTGGAGGTTGACGGAGAAAAAGTCAAACTGCAAATCTGGGACACAGCTGGGCAGGAGAGGTTTCGCACGATAACATCTACGTAAGTTAAACCAGTTCCTTCAACATTTTTGTCCATTTGGTTTGTGGTAGAACGAAAATGTGAAATTGTCAATGGGAAATTAAGTCTAATTATTCATTGCTTTTAGGCTATTTTTGCCTACCGGTATATACCCATTTTGGGCATAGATTAAGTGTAAAATTCTAAATGTACTGTCCTCAGACTAATCCAAATCATTAATTTCACATTTGCTGTTTACTCCAAAGATTTTGAGCAATTGTGGACATTTTATTGTCCAGCCAACCAGGAAACCTTGCAAACTGTACAAAATGTTTGTAATGGCTATGGAAAATTAGTGAATTTTTCTTGTTTCGAATACCGGACTATACAGTTCTCTACGTTGTGTTTCTTTTGTGATTTCCCTGTTTTGGCTGAGTTTGTGCACTGATCCTGTTATGTTTAAGGTACTTTCACACCTGAGTTAATGTTTTGAAAACTAATTTTTAATAACCCTAATAGAAAATTCCCGTAACAATCTCTCAAAAAACAATCCTTTATTATTTTATTACTATGCAATATCAAATTTGTAAGTGTTTTCTGTTATATCGCAGGTACTACAGAGGAACCCATGGAGTGATTGTGGTTTATGATGTGACCAGTGGTGAATCTTTTGCCAACGTCAAGCGATGGCTTCACGAAATAGAACAAAACTGTGAAGTTGTGAACAGGATATTAGGTAGGACATATTATTGATAGTCATGCTGTCTACCCTCCGGGAAATTCGGGAAAACCAGGAAACCTTCGAGAATTTGATCTTACCTTGAAATATCCTAGAAAACTCCAGGAATTGACCCAAACCTCCGGGAATCCGAAGCCTGGCCATCAGAAACGATGTTTAATCAAAAGCCCACCGCTGGTGTTGCCAGGATCGCAGGAAACAATCATCGGTATCCCCGAAACCACAAAATATGCTCAACGGTTATTGCTGCGATCACGGGAAACGATTATCAGTTTCGCCAAAACCGCAAAATATGCTAACGGGTATTGCCGCGATCGCGGCGAGACGATTATCTGGGTCGCAGAAACCGCAAAGGGTTTTTGTGACCGGGGTCACAGGTATTGCTGTGATTGCGGGAGACGATAACTAGTGTCGCTTTACCTACCAGTAATACCGTTTTAATATGTTGTATATATGTTTAATATGTTGTATAATGTTTTAAATATTATTATTCCTTGGAAAAGTTTTGTTTCAATGTTATAGTGCCTACCAATTAAAAAAAGTAAATAAGTTAGGCCTAATACAATTTCTATTTACTATTTCTGAAGTAGACCTAAATTTTTTTAAATACATTAGTTAAATGCATGTGACTAAAATGATGATTTCTTAAAAAAAAATTGAATTTTTTTATATCAAAAGGCGTGATATAGCTTAAAGTTCCAGGGTTCCGATAGTAGTTCTTAAAATTCAGGAATTTGTCTTGAATTCTCATGGAAAACTCCTTGAATTTTTCAAACTAGATTTAGTAGACACCCTGTAAATGTAAGCATACCAGATTTTTCTCGCCATAGTAAAAATGCTGAATGTTTTATTTTTTTTTGGGCGACAAAGCTCTTAGCGAATAAGTAAAGGAAGAAGGAATACAATACAACTCCCCTGGGAAGGTGTTTACCACACTCATATGGAATCCTGCATATCATGCTTAAACCGTAAACACCTACTTCCCAACCTTGTTGCATAATATACTATTAAAATGTGTTTTAAAAATAGAAAATCAAATTAAATCACAGCTATTCTAGTCAAGTCCATCTATTTTCCAAAACTATTATAAACCTTCACTCTACGAGGTAGGTACAGAAAGTAAGTTTCGTTTTAAAATAAAAGAATAACGAGTACAGATACAGGAAACAAATTTATTAAATAAAATCTACAACTCTTTTCAACATAACTCCCGTGATTTTAGAGGCATTTGTCATACCTTGGTACAAGTTTGAGTAAATACCCTCCTCGTAGAATGTTGTCGCATGTGTAGTCAACCATGAGGTAACACGTTCTTTCAGCTCTTTATCGCAAATTAACTTCTGACCGCCTTGAAAATACTTCTGCCTCGTCCCTGTCGGCCACTGCCGCCACTATCTAGGTCTTAGCAGATTTAAAACTCTCCTGCCAGAATATGCCAAAACGCAACTCATGCGGTCCTTGGTCCTTCCAGCCTTCACATATTGCTTTCCTGCATATGGAAACAGCATCTCTAAGGAGGACATGGCAAGAGTTCAGAGAATTCAAAATTCTGCCATAAGGTTCATTTTTGGCCTTAGTCGCTTTGACCACGTGTCCTCCTACAGAGATGCTGCTAAGCTCATCCCAATGGATGACATGTGCAGAAAGCTGACCTGCTGCCTGGTCCACAAAGTGCTCACGCTGGGAGAGCCTCATTACCTCAGTGAGAGGCTGAAGTACAGGAGGGAGATCTGTCTACGTAGTACTCGCTCTGACCTCAGGCTTCACTTTCCTAAAGTTAGGCTTGAGGCTGGAAGAAGGTCTTTTTCTTATTTCGGCCCGCAGTTGTACAATGGCCTCCCTCAAGTGATTAAGGGTTCAAAATCTTATAACTCATTCAGGGCCGCAATGAAAAAAACAAGTGTATAATTTATGTTTTAAATCATTCTGTTTGACATTTCTTGTATATACTTATGTAAATATATTAGGATAGTTTAGATTTAGTGACTTGAGTTAGTTTGAAAAACATGTATCATGAAACTCGCTCGTAAATAAAGGCATTTTTATTTATTTATTATTTATTTATCTCGTCTTCTGTCAACGTTCCGGCGACTGCTACATTGTTGTCGACTTCAACGAAATCTTCAAATGTTGTGTCATTTACATTACAGTGAGTCATTACTCATTACGGCATTCCATTCGCTCTCAATTAGATCTTCAACAGGATCTGGTGTAACTGTGATAATTTCTGGTTCAGTTTCTCCATTTACAAATCCACACGTTTTAAAACAACAAGGAATTGTTTCTTGAGTTACATTTTTCCATGATTTGTTTGCCATTCTCATCGCTTGTAGGATATTGATTGGAACGATGGCTTTCTCTTCTTTGATATTTGATAAAATATGTCTTACAACTTCTTTCCTGTAGAGAGTCTTGACATTTTATATAATTCCGTGGTCCAGTGGTTGAAGTTTTGACGTTGTGTTGGCAGGAAGGAACTGAACTTTGATTGCGTCAAGCTTTGGGATGTTGTTATGTGCAGTACAGTTGTCAACGAATAAAAGAATTAACGTTTTTCCTTTCTCATTTGTTTGTCTAGCTTAAGCAACCATTGCCCAAAAAGGTTACTATTCATCCATGCTTTTGGATTTGCGTCATATTCAAAAGGAAATGACTTAACACCAAGAAAACCTCTTGATTTTTGTAATTACCGATCATAAACGACTTTAACTTTTCTGTTCCTGTCATTTTACTCGCTAGCAAAAGTGTTGCTCGAACTTTACTGTTTATACCACTATGACATTTTTCGTTTTTGAAAGTTACTTAAAGTTTTATCGGGAAGACATTGGTAGTTCAAGGCCGTTTCATCAGCATCAAATATATTTTTAGGATCATAGTCTTTCCATATTGTTTTTAGTTCCTCTTTCCAGTTTTTACATACATTGTCATCAAAGCTTGCACTCTCTCCACACACCTTACGAAAAACAATGTCATTTCTTTGTTTGAATTTCTCCAACCAACCATTACTTGCTTGAAAATTATCATGGCCTAATGATTTGGCAAAACTTTCAGCTTTTTCTTTGAGGATTGGCCCCCCTACACTTACGTTATGGTCCCTACATTGTTTAAACCATTTTATCAAGCATTCCTCCACTTCAGGAAATTCGGATTTACGCACTCTCTTATTGTTTAAATTACCTGCCTCCATTCGTTGCCTAACTAGTTCCTCTTGTTTAAGGATCGGTAGATAATGTGCTGGCGGGGATACCATACTCTTCAGCTATATCCTTTTTACGTTTTCCACCACTGTTTACTTAATCAATTATTTTAAGTTTTTCTGCCAAGGTTAAGGACTTGTACTTCTTAGCACTCATTCTTGCTCACTGCACTAATACTCATCAACTAACAATCTATTAGGCCTAACACCGCAAAATCTGACTGACAGTTAAAGACGTCTACGTTGCATATAAAACGATTGGAGACTGATGAGCTAACTGTGGGAAGATCAATAAGAGCGTCAGTTCATGTTTCAACAGGATAATTTTTTGTCAGTTATTCGAATTGCAGAGGCTTAAGGTAACACAGTTCGAATTGTAGAGGTTGACTTCGAATTGTGGGTAACACTTTGAATTACGGCAATAAATTCGAATTGTAGAGGCTTGGGTATGTGCAAATTCAAATTATAGAGGCTGCCTAAAGCGTAAAAATCACTTTGAATTATCGGTATATTATTTTTCTAATTATGGAGGTTTTCTGAGGGTAATAGACAAAAATTTCTAATTATAGAGGATTTCGAATTATCAAGGTTCGAATTAGTGAGGTTCTACCGTATATACATAAGCGAGGGTTAACTGCGGAAATGGGTTATGGAGCATACGAATAGCTGTGAAAAACTGTTTACTTTGTAGTCTTTTGTGAGAAGTCTAGCTACCCATAAAAAATAACTCCTTTCAAAATGAACATTTTCATGGCCATTTAAAAAATCACCAGCCAATTTCTACACCTTGTGCTATACCTCATACGTGGCGGGATATTCAATAATTCCACAGAGAAGTGAGATCCTGAGGATTCAAGCTTATGGGACAATCGTGCGCCTTTAGCTCTGGTATGGTGGGGCGAAAAGGAAATGTACTTGTGAGCAAGGAATAGCCAGAACTGCGATGGCCACACCATTTTTTAACAGTAGTTGTAGCACACAGGGTGATCCTACAACGTGAACGCTGTAGTATTTGATGGCGAGGGAGGGAGGAAGAGCAGAAGGGGATGATGAATATAATTTGCTCTAGATATTTTAGGGACTGGTGCTAGACACCACTTAAGTGTACCATTCAATGTACCCTCTGTATCTTACTTCTCTGTCACAATCCTAAAAAATTTTTAAGCACACAGCAAAATGTACACGCCAGCAACAGAGCTGCAAACGGTTTCATATTGATTATACAGCTAAAAAACTTAACAAAGGAATATTTATAATAAACATGCTTAAGAACAGTGTAGATTTTAATACCTTGAAATGCATTTACTATGCACATATACATTCCCATCTAAGTTATGGAACAATTGTATGTTGAGGTAGTAATTATAAAAAACAACTTTTGTCATTGCAAAAACGAGCAATAAAAATCATGTACAATGTTGATTTTAGTACACACTGTAAACCATTATTTAGGGAGGCTAATATTTTAACTGTACAAGCAATGTATATTTTAGACTGCCTTGTGTTTGCAAAAAATAGTTTATCTAGACAGTGTCGATACAGCGCCACAGCTACTAGTTTTATTGAAAAATCCAAACAGTATTATAATATGTTACCTAATAGAATAAGATGTTTTAATTGTTTTAAATTTAAAATAGTACTTAAAAACTACCTGTTAAATCTGTTTCCATATAGAGAAATAGACTTCATAAATGATGTTAAATTAAACCTAAGGTAAAACCTTTAGTTCTAAGACATTTCCTTGACTGTGCCTTGCATGTAAACCAGTGTAACGGCAATAAAGCATTCTTATTCTTATTCTTATTCATTATGTTTACAAATAATGCCAGAAAGCGGCAAGGAGCCTCGTTGTTTAGTACATTCGATCTACAGAGTTCTACGCAAAAACGGCTCTTACTTAAAAAATATCCCTCTAGAATTTAAAAGTTAAGCTACAACATGAAAATATCCTGTTATTTTGAAGAGTAATATCCCTCTAACTAATAATTTTTTATTCCAGTTGGAAACAAGAACGATGCGCCAGACAGGAAAGTGGTTTTGACGGAGGATGCGCAGCGATTTGCTGATCAGATGAGAATCCAACTGTTTGAGACCAGTGCCAAGGAAAATATCAATGTAGAAGAGGTAAGTCAAAAGGGTCATTGAGCCAAAATTAAAATTTACTTATCTACCCTTCACCTAACTACATTGAGCTACTTTGTTCAGTTCTGCTCATATATTATAGCAGCACCCAACAGATTTGCTCCTATATACAGGGTGGCGGAAAAGTCCCTTTACACAATATTGCAGTACGTATTACACTGTTATAAACACGATTTATCAGCAAATATTCGTACGTGAGTAGTAAGGCAACATCGGGGGAGAGAATGAAGCCTCACTCTCCCTTCCCAACCACCGCCACAGCCCTAGAACGTGGCGACACCCAGTAGAGAGTTAGGGCGGCCTTTGCACGAGTCACCCCAGAAATGATGAAACAAATTAGCTAACGAACTTGGAGTCGATTCAAGCTTTGCCGAGACAATGGAGGTATGCATGCCGATGTTTTGGACTAAAAATGATGTTCACTTGGTGCTGTCCACAATTTCTGGTTAAAATAGATTTCTACGGTTTTAATGAACAAAAATTTAATTTACCTTAGTGTAAAGGGACTTTTCGGTCACCCTGTAGTTAGTTACAGTGTCCTGTATTGGTTGACGACACAGCAAAATGTAGGGCAAGAGTGACAAGTGATTTGGAGATAATTTTGTTCAAGATGAATGACAAACCAAGCAGCTCCCAAGGCACTTGTCTTAAGCATGGTGTGGTTAGAATATATAGCTCTTCTAGTCCTGTAATAATCAATTGAAGAGGTTCATGCTGATACCACAAGTGTTTTAAGACAAGAATAAAAACTAATCACATTCTGGCCGCCCACAGGTTTTATGACTGGTCTGGGAATCTGAAATTACTTGCATTGTGTGAATCTCAAATTGCCTAGTATCCAATTAGTAGAAATTAAGCTACAGGATTGTTGGAATCGCAGGAAAGCTGACTATTTGCTCTTTGGCTACAGTAGGTACAGTGGGTATAGGTATGTGCCGATCGCCACATATATACAACACTGCGATCATTGCCACGGACTGAGGTGTACATTTTAATATTACACATCTAGACCGGGTGTCACTTGGTTAACAATACACACAGACTGCCGGCCCGTGATGCAGCAAAGCAAAAAACAGTTTTGCCAACTATCATATGACTAATTATCATATCCACAGACCAAGTGATGCCCAATTCAATTCAATTCAATTCAAATATCTTTATTCGTTTTTATGTACATTGTACAATAAATAGTGTCAAAATAATTACAATAAAAATAGTGTCAAAATAGTTCAACAGGATAAAAAACAGCAAAACATGAGGAATGGTTATAAAAACAACAAAAAATACATTTTACAAATCTAGTAAAATTTCAACTAATTATAGTGACTGAGGGAGGTGAAAAAAATCGTCAAAAGAATAAATTGCTAAATTTATTAAAAACTCTTTCAATATTTTTTTAAATTTGTTTGGATCTGTTTCTTTTTTAATATTTTTATAATAATAAATTTAAAAAATCTATTACCTGCATAGGATGGTTTCTTTTCAAAAAATGTAGTCCTGTGTGGTTGTATATTTTCGTTCTTATTTCTTAAATTATAAGAATGGGATTTTTCTTTTGGTTCCGAATATACTTCTCACAAAGCGACAGATGTGCGACAGACATCTCTGTAGAGCACTGCAGATGATTCAGGGCCTTAAAATATACCATTATGAAGATATAAGCTTTTTAATATCATTGAGACCCCGAGGCTAACATGTGACGTCAGTCTATTTTAATGTGACCAGCCGTCGCATATATGTGACGGAAGTTCATGGATAGAAACCGACCCTCGCATATGTACGTCGCTGGTCCATATGAATTAAAATTTTATTGAGCGGAGAGAAAGCGGAGCTCTTTGGGATCGACTTCAATGCAAACTTTATAACACATTAACTCAATAACGGCTGAACATATTTTAGCCATGAACTTACCAAGGTTGTTTTGTCAAATGTTTGGAAGGTTTAAACTAAACCAATTTAAATTTTTGATAATGCCTATATAATTTAAAAGTTACTGAAAGTTTTAAAATTTATACATTGGCCTTATGGGTTGCCATGATGGTTACAAAATAACAACTTAAATGTAAGCAAAACAAATAATCGTAGCATATGTTAAAATTAAGCCACGACCTAAACACAGTACAAAGGAAAAAATTCTGGTGATGACCACTGACCACTAATAATACAGAGAAAGTCTTAAGTATACATTTAAGTCGCAATTTAGAAACAACCACTGATTGAATAGGTACAGAATTTTACAGATTTGATTTACGTAGTTAAATAAGGTTATAACAAATAACATGGACTCATCTTATAAATGGCAAACTTAAACAGGTCCACGACGTAGAAAGTGGTAAAGGAAGTAGTAAAGGTGAGCAGTCATATTAAGACAAATTTCAGAATGCATTCTCAAAAACTGCCTGATATTTGTAGAAAATGAAGACGAGCAATAAACGCCCGAAACGCATGAACAACTACTTCTGGAAATTTTTTTAGATAGTTGAATGTACACTTGCTTGAAAACAATGCTTTTCATAATTATGTTAAATGTAAAAAATTTAATAAAAAAAGCAAACCTCATAAGGTATGGTGACCACTATTTGTGCAATTCTCTCAAAGCAGTGTGCTGGTCTTTAAAAAGTTACATCTGCTAATCGCACGGATCCATGCATGATTATTTCTGCCTGAACTGTAAAATCTGGCCAAGATTGAGAAAATGTCGATTGGTTTCGGTTCAATGTCGGGTTCAACCAGAATGGTGGGTTCACCAGATGACATTGGCAAGCATTAACAGGAAAAATACCCATACAAAGGATGTTTGTAATGTCCACATCTTTACTAATGAAACTTGTTATAGATTTTGATAGTTCTCAGCGAAACTGATAGGTTAAATTGATTAAATAGTATTTTGTATTATATTTATAAACATTTTATTTATTTATTGCTTTATCAAAAACCATGAAACGTGATCGCAAGCAATTCTAGTTACTATTGCGGTAACGAACGTGTTAATCAGTTTACCAGAAACCTTAATCAAGTGAGAGTTCATAGAAAGCCTATAAGGCAGATTAATCTAGGGAGTAAAATACAAACTTTGTTTGAATCTTTACAAAGACTAGGGACCAAATTTAATATAGCTATATATATTTCGTCCATTGAATCAATTTTCCGAGTACTTGGGACTGAGCCTTCCTCAAGAGTATTGTTAAATATCGGATAGTTGAAGAGTAGGTGCTATTGTCAAATCTAGGTCTTTGGGTGATGACCCTAAAGACCTAAAGAATAGTATTCTCGCATTGTTGAAAGAGTGAAACTAGAGGCTGATGTTTCGCATGGAGCAGCTATCCATCTTTAGGGCAAACTACTATTTAACTCGTAGTACTTTCAACTTTCAAGAGTTCTGCTGACATAGTTAATGGGTCATAATAGTTGCTTTTGCTTACAATAAGTCGTTCCACTAGTTTGAATTGATAAAAAAGTTCTTCTATTCAACAGAAATAAGTAATTTAGATCAGCACAATCTGTCGGTGGCTCACATCAACTACGACGATTTTGATTATGGAATGTCTAGGTGCATTAATAGTTAAAAGTAAAGTACTAAATTCAAAACTACCTCTTAGGGGAAAAAAGGATAACAAATCAAATCAATCACGTCTGACGAGTATTTTAACATTAGGTTGATTCATAACTGTTATTATTTACTACTTTACCACCTTTGTAAAACAATTTGAATAAAGAATATAAATATAAATAGGGTGGTTTTATTTCTATAGCAATTTTAAAATTATTTTAGGTTATAATAATTGAGTTTAAGGCTCTCAGTTAGTTAGTGACTTATTTCTGGACTTTTTAGATGTTCATGGCAATCACTCGTCAAGTCCTGCACACAAAGAAGGAAAGGAAGGAGCGACAAGCCGGACAGAATAGTGATACAGTTAATCTACGGAAGCCGAAAACCAGTAAGAGACAAAAATGCTGTTAGCACCTTCTGACTGGCATTACTCCAACTGTATAGCCCCCTGTGTATTTGTATAGTGATTGTTTTATTCGCTTTATTTTCATTGTGGTTACATCTATGGAAAGAAGAGAAAGCCATAAAACTGTATAGGCTCTAGTTTTAAGTAATATATAAATACATCGCGTTGTTAAGTATTGAATGTTCAATACAGAGCACGGACCACGTTTTGTAAATTTTTACCAGCTCAATTCTACCCTTGAGGTCCTTTGCTCAACAGTTTTATGGTGTAGATTTCTCCCTTAAGTACTAAATTTAGATTTTCAGTTTGCATGCATTTTGAATCGGACTTCTCTGCTTTTGGGACCTCATAATAATATTCTTGAAACAACATAATCTGGTAGTGAAATGACATTTTAAGAACCGGCATGGTTTTATTTATGTTAAAACTTAGTTAAATAGTTAATGTTAGTTGAGTTTTCTTCATTATTTTTTAAATATACCTGTGAAAGTTGTAATAGTTACTTACGCAAGTGTTCTAAACATTATGCTGTTGGCTGCTATGTTTATTTTTTAAAACAGTTGCTGCTCTCCCCCTGATGAAACCAGAAGTACAATTTTAAAACTATCCTAGAGTTTTAACCCTCATCTTTGCAATATGTTTGTGACCATCATGTTATTTAATACTAGGCTATTTGGTAAACTTAGAAACTACATATTATCGTTCCTAAATTAATAAATTAGTAGAATTTTTATGTTATTTTTAAAGGTCTAAGTTTCAATATTGGCATCTGTAATTAGGATTACAACTAGCCTACTTTAAAATTTAGTGTTAGTGCTGAAAGTTATATTTTAACCTGTGCTTCATTTGGACTTTCTGCATCGTTGATGTGTGTAGATCAGATATATTTACATTCCTTAATAATACCCAATAGTTTGTAGTATTATGAAAAAATAATTAATTTTAATAGTACTTTTTAATAATGTACTGATTACATTTCAACAATATTTTATTTTAGCTTTAGCTGTATTCTGTTCTAAACACTCTTTTTAGTTACTCACTTTAAGTGAAATATCGTTGGTTTAAGAATTTTCCTGTTACTCGTTAAAAGTACAAAATCATGGTCCAGTTCAAAACTGGAATAGCTACATAATACTGTAACTATTTTGCATAAAGTACTATTTTAGATACATTTCTTTGTTGTAGCTTCAGTGTATCATTGTGTGAAGCATTTATTTTAATAAATATTCTTTTTGTGTTCAATGTTGTATGATTGTAAAGTAGCACAAAAACTACAATTAAAACTTACCATATCACTTATTTTTGTTATTTTATTGTAATATCTTGGTTTTCATAACCATATTTTAACTGGGGTTTCTCCAGGTAAAATTAGTATTAACTTATTTTTAAGATTAGCCTAGGCTTAAAAATTTGTTCGAGATGAGACCTACAATATACTGTAGAGCTTGGTTCAGGTTTAAAACAGAGCTTATCGTAGAAGTTTTTGTCAGGATATCCGTAATGTTCAAGTGTTAACTAGTAGGGTTTAAGGTACAGGTATTAATTTTGGAAATGTTTAATTTAGACAGACCCTTTCTCTCTCTTATTGGCAGTTCTACAGTTAGTTAATGTTATTATGTTAACTTATGTTGTTAATGTGTTCTTAGATATACTGCTAACTAACCCTACCCTGGGCCCCAGAGCTTAAAACTTTTAGGGCTTTATATTTATTTTCATACAATTTTCAGGACTTCCATAAAATATTTTTATTAATATTAATACAAAAAATAGTACACCAGGAAAGTTTGTTAATTCAAAGATTTTAAATTTCAGGATCTCAGTCAATTTTGTATACATGAAAGTTCTAGGATATTTATTTTTCAAATTCCAGGAGTTCAAATACCTAATAATTCATTGCATTTTAAGAGTGAGTTTTTCCAAAGATTAATTACCACTTAAACCTAAAACAACAGTAACAAAGAATTTCAAGTCTTAATAGTTGTACATTTTTATTTATTTGTTCATGACTCCATTTTAGACAATAACGATAAAAAACCTGATAAACTAAAGGGCTTGAAATATTAATGTAACCAAGTGTTTTATTTACAAGCGATGATTGTGATTTTGCTGATATTTCCTGACAAGCTGACAATTTTGCTATACAATCTTCCATTGTACTTCCTTCCTTTTGTTTACTTCATTTAATTGCAAACCTTTTTGCGGCATACATGAAAAGAAAACGTTTTATAAAGATACATTTTAGCACAGTTTTAGTGGTATATTGTATTGTTTGAGTTTGTTATACAGTTCACTGAAGATGTCTTAAAGATTTTAATGCCTGTAAATATTTTTCAAATCCGGATCACAAAATTGTATTCTATTATTAATTGAAAAATGTTGGGATTGTAAATTAATAAGTTTGAGATATGTAATTTACTTACAGTAAATTTGCTTCCTTTTAAAGGGCCTAATAACGTGAATGTAATGCTTAACTAATAGAAGTAAAAAAAAAAAAATGTTTTAGTAATTTTTAAATACATTTTTACCTTCTAAGAAATTTGATTCCATTTGAAGAAAATTAAAAACGTTTGCAACATTCAAAATTGTTTCACTTAACAAAAAGAACTTTAAAATTTTATGCTCATTCCCAATAGTTCATATTTAATTAAATATGAATTTTTATTATATCGTACATACAAACTAACCATTTTCAACATGTGTACCTTTCAGAAATTTTAATTTTTTCTAAATAAAAACTGTATTTTAAAAATAAAGCTGGAGAAATAATCAACAGGATACTACTAAGTCTTTGCTTAACATAGCATTAAGGTCCTCATGCTCTAGGATATGGACATTTCAAAGTTCCTTTGATTTGACATGCAATTTTGTTAGTTAACTAAGCTAAGTTATCGGTAATAAATACTTCAACCATCTTGGTTGTGAGAAATTCATAGAGCATTAACATAGCATTCCACAATGTACTACTAAGCTGTGACATTCAGTTCATTTTCAAACAAATACTGTCCATCCATGTTTAGTTTCCTACATTTTATAGAACTATATACCATTAAAACTGTATGCAGTTAACCACACTAAATACAATAACAAACCCGCTGTAATGTGGCAAGGTTGGTATCATTATTTTCAGCCTTGTTAGGTTTTTTTCTATAATGCCAGTAAAGTGTGAACTGGTTTGTTAATATTTTGCCAGACTCTAGAGAACGAGTTTTTTTCCTGATGAGTATCACTGTTTTGTTACAACCATGGTACTCATGGGTTTAAGCTTAGAGATCTGTACCAAACAGCTATAACCTGTTTATTTAGCGGTTGAAACATTAATTTAAAAGAGGCAAGGGGTAAAAGTATTTATGAGTTTACTTCCACTCACACTCATTATAACATTCGTTACCTGTGTCGATGTTTTATTTCTAATATGTAAATAATCTTGATAATTTTAAAATAGTGTTATGCCAGTACGTCGTTTTAACCACATCCAATAATTATTTTTCTTATTTTTACTGTCAACATCACATTTTTAACTTTTGAATTACTTCTTGAATTTTAACCAGCACATTCATCTTGTCAAGGGATTTTTTAACCATGTATATTTTGTGTTTTCAGTCAGCCCTGTGATTCTCTATCTGTGTGTAATATATTGTTGATGTTGATTTGTATGGATAACAGTTCCCATTCAGTGTGAAATTGTATTTTATGACAGTGTATCCATTTTTATAAATAAATGTAGTAATTAAATCTATACATATATAAATAACTGTAAATAATACTTTGTGTAGGTGGTATGAAGTTTTCCAGACAGAACCCTTTTGTAGGTCGGTTTTATTATCAACCAATGGCCTAAAAAGGATTGTTGTTATGTATTATTTGGATGTGACCGAATGTGTCAAGATGTTTTAGAGGGCTAAAATAAAACATGGTAACAAATTCTATAAATATTCGCCTGAAATTTCGTTCTTATGTTTGTGCTCAGTTTGGGATTTAATTAAATATTGTACGTGTTTCAATTGTGCTTGATACAAAAGTACACAAACGTAAGCAATACTGCCCATTTACATGTAGGAAAACTAAATGTTTCTCCAAATAGATGTGAATATTTTGTTGATACTGTGAGGCTTTCGATTGTATATCATATCAACTGACCCTAAATGTATTCATGTTGAAACAAATAAATAATTTTATGGCATTTTTATGTTGTCTGAATACCAAGTGTTGCTCTACACCAGGGACTCTCAAACTACATTACACATTCCTAAGGGGCTCAAGACACAAACAGCAATAGCACACTAGCCTGACCACAACCAGGACAAAACTTGGACTGCTCGTTGTTGTACACCTTGCAGTCAGGGAATGACACCCCCATGACTTTGAATGTATGCCAATCTTCAATCTGGAGATGTACATATTGAAGTTTTATCTCTTAAGAATTTTATCTCAGGCTCATTAAGTGAAAGAGAAAGCAATATTGGGTTCATCCGATGTTTGCTGTCAGTTCTACAAAAGGACAGTTTGCAACATATTATGGAGAACTAATTAAATACGAAGATATATTGACAGTCCTATCCTTCGTAGCAATGATAAAAACATAACTCAGTGACAAGATACAGCATATTGTACTGAGGAGAGGCGGACTCAAAGTCCTAGCACGTCAACCGAAGCTTATTGTGCATGCCCCACTTGCGGCTAACTATACGAGCCTATGCCCAAGTCCGGGAGCTTCCCTCAATAAAGAATTACATTGTCATTTTAAAAGGTATAGTGCAAGACCACTCATTAAATAAATACATTTTTGTGATAAATTTGTAATTTTTGTTGTATCAATCTAATAGACATAAAATGTAGCCTATTAATTTAACTAGTGTCTTGATATCCCACAAAAATAATATATTCGTAACTTGAGAATCAAATTCTTAAGATAATCTAATACTATGAATTGGAATACTCAATGTAGTGGAATTTTACCCCCAGATCAAAACTGATGTCACAGCCAAGGGGGGGTAAAGTGTGCCTAATTTTAATTTATGTGTGCCCAGCCCGTTATTATTTTATAAAAAGAAAAATCAAATAAACACGATAAAACAAAATTTCATTTTTACTCAATGTTATCATAGTGCATCCACAAGTTACTTTTACATAAAATGAAGCCTTCTCTTCTGGCTTGAATTAAAGTCATCAATAACTTTGGAAATGATAACTTCAACACTCCTTTCCTTTTTGCTCATTCTCGCCCTTCACGCATTTAATGTTCCTTATTTCATTACGTAAATGTAGTATTCTACTACACCAATACTTCTTTCTAAGTTTATGATTTTCAAGTTTTCAAAAGACATTCTATCTTTCTGTGCCAAACTTAGCATGATTAATGGAGAATCGATAAAGTTTGAAAGTTCTCTGTGGGTAGACTTTTCAGTTTTGAACATTTGTAAATTCTTAAGACTTTTACTTCAAAATTCTGGGGTGGCGAAATACTGGGTTCCACAATTCTGGGGGGGGGGGGTGGCAACTGCCACCCATTGCTACCCCCGAATTACACGCCTATGGTAGCATCAATGCATTCTAAGGACTAATCCACAATCATACAAGAACGGTCAGCGTCTTACTTATTTCCATAATCAATTACGCAATTCTGAAAACGGAATATAACATCTCTAAACTGTAGTTAGTAGTATAGTTCGGCCAAAGTTTCTGTGCGTGCGACCAGATCTGGTCGGGTCTAGGCGAGGGGGTTGGCGGGGGTACTTTTGCGAAAACATTTGTGTCTTGCAACTCACTCACCCGTACCCCAGGACTACCAATAACCGGTATCTGTATGTTTTAGTTGGGCAAGTTGCGACATGTCCCCGCGCACAGAGTTTTGGCCGAACTGTACTGTTAATCTTGTGACAAATGGTTTGAGTTACTATGAATATAAATAAACATGTAAATAATTTTGTTGGAAATTCATGGGAAGCCAATACACAAGTTATGTGTGAGTTTGTCTATGGTTTAGCCTGCTGCTGGATATATCACTGATGCTTGTGACATTGATGTCTTACTAAATAGACTAAAACTACAAGAGTAAAAGCGGCTCTTATCCTAACCCCTCTTTCTTGGTTTCCGATTTTGTTTTTTTTTCCTTCATAGCTCTACCTAGTGCAAAAATACACTAATAAAGAGGAAAAGGAAAGATCTTACCTGCTTCTCTTAATAAGTAATAGGTATGGGTATGGGTCTCTTAATAGGTATGGGTATGGTGGATACCCATACTT